TTTTTTTTTTTAGTACTGGGGATGAAACTCAGGACCCTGTGCTTGCAAGGCAGGTGGCAGCACCACTGACCTAAATTCCCGGCCTGAGTACTATATATTTGAATTTCTAGATATCTCATCTTCCACATAAATGCTCCTCAAATTAAAGATGAATATACATTTTCAGTGTTTGGAAATAAACCATAAAATCTGTTTCACTATGGTAAAATATGTGCAGCTAAGAGGGCATTTTTAGAGAGAATTAGCATAATTGCAAATATGATAGGAAAAATTCAGTTGGAATTTGTTCTTCTGACAATTGATTTTCATTATTTATTTGTCAAATCTGTTTACCTTATGGAATGTACACAGTGGTCAATGCCACAATGAAAATGAGATTCTTACATGTGATATACTAATAGTGGGGAGGTTCTAATTATTGGGGACCTTAAAATTGGCAGGCACATTATATCCTGTGCTTCTGGGAAAGTGATGGTGAATTATTGCCTTATTTTATAGATGAAAATGTTGAGGCTCAATTGACTCAAGAACTGAGTAATTTTTCCAAAGTCAAAAGCTGGCTGGGTAGAAAAGTGAGATCAGTCCAGTGTTACCTTTTCTCTACCACCATGTAACTAACAAAAACTTAAATAACTGCAACAATGATAATAATAGCATAACTAACATATATTGACTAATTTCTATGCACCAGATCCTCTTCTATATGCTTTATAATATTAACTTAATACATTCTCACAACTTTCCTTTAAAATTGGTATTTCCATCATCATTTAGCAGTGGAGGAAAATAAAATGCAGGAAGAGGAGCATACAGGAAGGGCTACTAAAGAGCTAAGTGATCAGAGAGGACTAATTGCCTATAACTTCAGTTATTGATTTCCCTAATGGGCTTACTTTACATATTTTGCTCTGTGGATTCAGTATTTCTTTCAAGTGGTAAATTGAACTTGTATTTTTCATAACTACTTTTTCTTTTGAAATGTAAAGTACCATTGTAAATATATCCATTAATGAGTGAAATAATGTGAGGTAGAATAAGAACACTGGCAACTGGCCACTTCTATAATTTCCAACAAGTCTTACACTGTTCTCTCACACCCTGCGTCTAGAAACCTGAGAATCTGTCAAGAGAGTTCACATAACCAGGGGCTGAATGGAGCAATCCACTCCTAAAACAGCAACTATCCTGGAAAGGGCTGCTCAGGCTTTTGCAATCAAGCAATTAAATAGCATGGATTAAGTATACTGAATGGCTGCCTGCAACTTTCTGTGCCTTAAACACAGTAAACGAATAAGTTCCATAAAAAATAGAATCAAATATCCGTATTCTCAGTGCTAATGAGTAACTCAAGTTTTATTAGTATTAATTTTCCATAAAATCTGATTGACTTTTGCTTGGAGAAATTTCTGTTTTGTAGGATTTCTCTGGAAAGTCTTCTCAATCAAATTCCTGAAATATACCTTCTCCCAAACTTAATATTCATGTGTTCTTAGGAAGAATATGATTCCAAAGACTCACACATTTGAATTAAGGTTTTTTAATATAAAGATAACTTTGAATAAAGACTTTTTCTAACATTAGACTTACAAATCAGTCACAATTAGCTTGGAATAAACTAACATTTAATAAACTTATTCAATGTAGGAAATACTATTTATTAGTTCCAGATTCTTTACATTCTCATCAATGATATTCTAGAAAAGTTTATTTCTACTGTAGTTCAGTATTCCTCATATATTATAGTATATATTGCATATTGTATTTCACTGTACACTATGTCTAATGCAGATATTGGTTTTAGATTATTCATCATATCTGTATCATTTTATGTATTATATGAATGAGAATAAACTTCCAACAGTGAAATGTTTTTGCTTACTTTTCCTGCAGTGTTCATGTTGCTTTTGTCTCCTCTGCAGGCCAGAAAAAGAATCCCTGGGTTTCGTTCCTGCTGCACTGCACAAAGCAAATATGTTGCACAAGCATTCTGCTTGCTTAAGTAACAGCCAATTTCACACGTGACCTGTTGTTTCAACCACACCTGTCAGTTTATTCTGTCAAATCAATTCAGAAAGAAAAGGAAACAGGGCTCTCCGGAAAGCTGATTAGTGACATACCAGTTGTACAAAAAGTGATTTCATTAGGTAAAATACTTCCTTATGCTTCCTCTCTGTTGCTCGCTTTCTTTCTGTGTATCTGTCTCTTTCTCTCTCTATGTGTCTCCTGTCTCTCTCCCTCCCTCCATCTTGCCTTATTTGTTGTTTCCCTCCTCAGTCCTACTCAGATTACAGTTCTTTTCTCCTCTGTCTTCACGAAGCTGCAACGGTGAATCCACAGTGGGCAGTGAGGATGAAGTTGTAAGGAATGGGAGAATGAGGTGAGACAGACCCTGACATTCGGGAGGACGCTGATAGCTCCAGCACTCCCTTCTTTGTGGTAGCGAAACAGACACCTTGGATGCAAAGGTGCTCACCCCCTGTCATTTCTTCTCTACACAATACCAGTCCAAATCTGCTGAACACTTCTCACAAGTGGGTGGACAAGTGAGATGGAGAGAGAGTCCTCTCCCTCTGCCAGGGTGCTGTCTCGGCAGCGATTATGGCATGTGCAGGGATCAGACAGACCCTCTTCCTTCCTTAGAAGCTGGGCAAATTTGGACTTATCATATAACGTTTGCCTTCTTTTTTATTTGTGAGATGATAAGTAATAGTACCAACTTACTGAACAATGGAGAACAGATGAAATGATAAATGCAAAACTAAAATTCCATTCATAAAGGCAGCTCAGTTACTGGGGGAGAAAGGCACACAGGAAGCAACTCAGCCTACCTGGGAAGTGCTATATCAAGGGAAAGAATTCTGCCTGAAATTTTCAGAAGATGCTTTGCAGAGAGCAGACATTTGAATTACAGTCTAAAGAATCATTTTGGAAAATTGACCAAAAACCTCATTGGAACATTTCTCTTGTCCAGTATTTAATGTCATGAGTTCAATAAAGAGAATATGATTTCTCTCATATTTTAAAAAAACCTTACGTATTGTACTGATGCCTGAAGGCCACAGTCCACGTAACTACTTAATTAAATACAATCTGTCAACACACATACATAAACATAAACTCTGTATTTCCCTAGAGTTGTCAATGAAATGCCAGTGTTGTCTCTGTCCAACTGGAGTTATGCAGGCACAGAGAGCCATGCTAGGTGTCTACTACTCCAGCCAGCCGAAAGGGAAAGCAAGTCTTCCATCTCGTTGTGATCACAGAGACTTGAGCAGGATTCACTTCTAAAAAATGTGCTTCAACCTTCTCTCTCACCCACTTGCCTTCACTTGGAACAGTCTGTGTGGTAACAGAGTTCATTTGTTTCAGTGATTTCAGTGTTTACAGAGGATAGATGAACAGGGTAGAGTATCCGATGTTATTCGAATTGTTAATAAATTGATGGTTTATTTATGAAGCATAAATTTGCAGGAAGCTACTGATCACAATTGGTTGAGCACCTACTATGTTCCCAGAACTCAGTAGGTGTTTTTCCAACATTGTCACATATAATCTTCAGAGAAAATTTACAATGAAGGTGTTATTATTACTCCCATTACATAGACAAGGTAAGAAAAACTCATATTCTAGGTCCTTAGAAATCCTTTCTAGGACAGAAAAATTGACTTCCAAAACAGAACTGTACACAGACTGGTGTTAATGTGATTTTTATAGTGTGAATATGGCAGGCAATCACATGGTCAACAAGGGAGAGGAAGCAAGTGTTGTATCCTGAACAGCTGGACGCTCTCTGCTAAATGACCATCTTCTCTCTACCTCTCTTGATCCGTCTCTGAATCCACTTGGGCTCTAATTTGTCTGCCTTTTAACTAGACTCTCTACCACTCAGTTTTCAGATGTCCAGCCAGAGTCTTTTGTCTGGCCATGAAGCAGTCAGTTAAAATCAGAGGGATGAGGCTCGGTAGGTGTAGACAACTTTCAAAGTTGTCCTGAATCTGGTAAGTAGCAGTAGCAGAATTCTAAGTCACATCTGTCTGACTCAGAAGCTCACACTCTTTCCACTACTGTTTGAAAAGGGAGTGGACAGACCACAGTTTAAAATAGTCAACTATTTCCCAAAATCTGCAGCTTGTACATATTTAAGGCCTAAGAAGACCCACTATAAAGACAAGAAGTTCTGATATAATTTTATTCATATTCTTCATTTTATAGACCACACTTTTGAGTATGTGGTCAACAAAGTTAAGTGTCATCAGTTTACAATAACGTGTTACATCTTTAAAACAGTTTATAACCTTCATGGTGACCAATAAGTAAATAACAAAAATAAATACAGTAAAAATAATAACATGGAATAAAAACAATCTACAGGAGAAAAATCACTTAACTATAAAGGATGACAGCACGAAGAGAAGAAAGAAAAGAATAATCCAGAAAATAATAAAATGGCATTAGCAAGTTCTTATCTTTTATGAATTACCTTGCATGAAAGTGAGTTAATATTTTTCTAGTCATAAAATATAATGTGGTTAAGCAGTTAAAAAACAAAGCCTAACTATATGCTGCCTACAAGACACTCACTTCTCTTGTAAGGATATAAAGTGAAGGAAAAGGGATGGAGAGAGTCCATGCAAATGGAAATCAATGAGTACCTATACAGGGTGGAGTGTACAGTTGAGCCAAATTAGAGCACAAGGATCTACCCTTGCCCAGATAAATGCAGGATCTGTTGCTGGACCCATAGCAGTTGCATGGAACACATGGCCCTGCTACTTGTGGAATAGCAGCCATTTCAACAGCAGCATTAAGCATTATCTCTCTGCATGGTGATCATACGCCCCACCGGGGCTGACCAGGGCACCTACCCAGGAGAACCCCAGGACCATGGGCCCTAGCCCCAGCCAAAATTGACTCCAGCTCCTGGAGTCTCCACAGCACAGGACAACAGAGGTGACAGCCGGTAGATGAACTGGATCAAAGAAGAGACCAACACCCAGGAGGAGAGTTTCTCTTCAGGACCGAAGTGTGACCTTAGCACAGAGTCCTGGTGAGAGACAGCCTTGGGAGATAGGTTTGGAGAGGGTGAGAGCTGAACTGGGATCTTCTGGAACCCCATGGGCGGCACAGGATCAGACAAGGAAGTTTACAGGGCTTGTATTCTGTTCTGGGAGGCCAGGTTTGGCGGGTGAAATCGTCAGAGGGGATAGTGCTGAAGAAGCCATGTAGTCTAGTAGTATGTTTGAGTTCTAGCACTGCTGCCTATATTCACCAGAAATTAATGGTCTGAAGTAGTATAGGTAAATATATGAGTGGCCCGATTGTCTTTACTAAAACCATAGTTACCAAAGATACAAAATCACCAAAAAGATATCAGACAGAAATGCCTGAAACAAAAAACTGGATAGAATTTGTAAATTGCAGAAATCAGAAATGACCAATGTGAAGACAGAGCATGTGAAATAGAGGACAGAGCAAGACAAGGATGTCCACTATCACTAATTCTATTCAACATACTACTTGAAACATTAGCCAGATCAATTAGGCAGGAGAAAGAAGTGAAAGGGATACATATAGGAAAGAAGAACTCAAATTAACATTATTGGCAGATGAGATGATACTCTACACAGAAGACTCAAAGAATTCCACCAAAAAACTCTTAACTTTAATAACCAACTTCAGCTATTTAGCAGGATACAAAATCGGCAAACAAAAACCAATAGTGTTAGTATATACTAATAATGAACTCAATGACAAGGAAATTATGAAAACAATACCATTCAGAGTAGCATCAAGAAAATTTAAATACCTGTAAATTAACCTAAGCAAGGAAGTGAAAGACCTCTAGCAAAAATACTACTGTACTCTGAGAAAGGAGATTGAAGAGGATGTCAGAAAATGGAAACATGTCCCCTGCTCCTTGATAGACAGAGCCAATATTGACAAAATAGCCATACTCCCCAAACTGTTATACAGATTTAGTTCTGTCCCAATAAAAATACCAAAAGTGTACTTCACAGACCTAAAGAAAGAATCTTAAAATTCATATGGAATCAGAAGAGACTTAGAATAGCAAAAACAATCTTGGGAAATACAAAGCAGGAGGCTTCATAATGCCCGACTTCAAGCTATAGGGCAAAGCAACAGTGATAAAAATGGCATGGTACTGGAAAAAACATAGACATGTGGAGTAGAGGATACAGAATCACCCCCAGATATATTCAGCTATTTCATCTTTGACAAAGGAGCCAAAAGCATACGATGGAGTAAAGACAGCCAATTCAATAAATGGTGCTAGGAAGAATTCCTATATCTTCTTCATTTAATTTTGGCAATTCATATGTATCTAGGAATCTGTCCATTTCTTCTGTGTTTTCCATTTTATTAGAGTACAGGTTCTCGAAGTAGGTATTGATGATCCTCTGGATTT